ATATTGGACACGAGTTTCGTTTGTTTCAGATTCTCGAGAGTTGAAGTAGGAACATACGAGTATCATATATCGTTTGTGACTTGCCGAATGAAAGCAAGACAGAGAGCGAACGAGATGATGAGCTTAATAGCTCATAATGTTATAAATAAATAAATAAAAAATTATAACCTGACCTACTAGTTATTGAATCTTTTTTTAATAAAATGTTTCATTATTATTATCATCTAAGTCTAAGTCGTTTAATTATACTTTTTAGTTTTTTAATAATTAATTTAATTTATTCTAGTCATTTTTATATGAGAAAAATAATATCACGTATACGTTTTATAATGAATTAATATATTTCGGGAACCGAATTATATATTCTTAATAATATAAAAGTGTTCAAAAATTATATTTGACTTTTAATTTTAATTATTTTTTAGCAAAGAGTTCCGAAATCTCTTACACACATAATGGGGATTTTTTTCATCCATATAATTCGCAATTAAGTATATATGTTAATTATTAATTTTAATAAAATAAAAATTAAAATTAAAGGTCAAATATAATTTTTAAACACAAATATATTAAATTAATTATAAAACGTATACCCATGATAGTATTTTTCTCGTACAAAAATAATTAGAGTAAATTAAATTAATCATAAAAGATTAAAAATTAATTAAAGAATTTAAACTTATATTTTATATAATAATAATAAAACATTTTATTACGTCAAACCGTCGTGAAATAATTAAATAAAATTTGCTAGTTACGTCAAAGTCAAGTTTTCTAAGCTTATAAAACATTTTATTAAAAAATAGATTCAATAAATATAAGTACATGTTATATATATACTTATATTTATTGAATCTGTTTTTTTATAAAATGTTTTATTATTATCATATATAATATAAATTATTTAATTATTTTTTTATTTTTTTATGAGTAATTTAATTTATTCTAGTTATTTTTGTACGAGAAAAATACTATCACGGGTATACGTTTATAACGAATTAAATATATTTATGTTCAAAATTATATTTGACCTTTAATTTTAATTTTGTATTTTATTAAAATTAATAATTAACATATATACTTAATTGCGAATTATATGGATGAACAAAATCCCTATTATGTGTGTAAGAGATTTCGGAACTCTTTGCTAAAATAATTAAAATTAAAAGTCAAATATAATTTTGAACACTTTTATATTATTAAAAATATATAATTCGACTCTCGAAATATATTAATTCATTATAAAACGTATACGTATTAGTATTTTTCACATATTAAAATGATTAGAATAAATTAATTAATTATTAAAAAACTAAAAATTAATTAAACGACTTAGACTTAGATGATAATAATAATGAAACATTTATTAAAAATAATTATAATAGGTCAGGTTAATATTTTATTTTTTTTATTTATAACATCATAAAATTCTGTCCTTTCCGAAATACGCGCGAACGCTACGAAAAGATAAATTTCGTACATGCCGCCGGACGAGTTCATGAGCATGAGACGCTCTTATCTTGGGAACGTATTAATAGTTACTGCATTGACCACTACTACGATATGGCGCTGAAATCAGTGAGAAATGCTGGTCTCTCCTTCATCCAGACCTTTGGCGATCTGTCTATTAATCTGTGGTATCACGTATTCATTCTGTATATGTGCGATCTGTTCTCGTTATTTATATATATTATATATAATATATATGTATTTATATAATTTGTATAAAAACTAAAAATATAATATTAAAATATATCTATATAT